GCCCCCTCCCTCCCCCAGGACAGGAACGGGCCTGCAGTTTCTGAGGGTCACCACGCCCCAGCCCTGCGTAAGCGCCTTATGTACATTTTTCCACAACAGCCCTGAAGGGGTAGATGGTGTTACTGTCATTTCATAGATGAGAAAAAGGAAGCCCAAAGAGATTCAAGAACTTGGCCAGGGGTACACAGCCAGCTGGAGATGGGGTTGGGATTTGACAGAGAGCCCGCACCCTGCCCTGCAGCTGTTAACTTGGCCACCTCAGCTTTTGTGCTCTGCATAGTAGGTCCAGGTTCTCTGTGTCCTGGGACCTGCCATCTGGGAAGGTGAGAGGGGCTGTCCCGGGGGTTCAGTGGTCAGACAGGTGAAGTCAGTCCCCTGTGAGGCAGAAGGGGGCTAGGGTTGGTCGGTGGGCTCTGAAGCCCAGCTCCTGGCTTCCCAGGCTGGCCGCAGGGAGGCTGGTGAGCAGAGGTCTGTGTTGGGCTCCTTTGAGCTCTCTGCTCAGGAAGGTGACCTGAGGGACTGGAAGGGGCTCTGCAGCAGCCCAGGGGGGCGGGGCTGGGCCCCCGTGTACACCGAGGACCCTTGAGAGCCTTTGCTGAAACCTCAGCCTCCAACACCGAGTCGAGAGGCTCTTTTGAAATGTTCCCCCTTCTGCCCTCCCTTCCAGAGAAATTTTCTTCAGCACTGCAGCTGGGGACCTTGTTAGACCTCCTGCAAATCGAAGGCATGAAGATTGAAGAAGAGTCTGAGGTGAGGTAGCCCGTGACACCCCCTCTTCCTTGAATAACGTCAGCCCCTGGAGCAGGAGCCCTTGTAATGGGCGCTGGATGTCTGCAGAGGGTGGCACAGGGGCACTTTCGTAGGCGGCAAAGATGAGTGACACCTTTAGTCCCAGCGGAGGCCTTTTTAGACACAGAACGGAACCCAGTCTCACTGGCTGAAGCAGAAATGGGCGACGGAGAGCGTGGTCATGGCGAGCTGGGGACCCGGGTGGAGGGCAGTGCAGCAAGAGCCCCCAAGGACGGAAGCCAGGCCCCAGCCCCTTCTCAGCGGGGCTGCCGGTCTCTTTCCTGCTTCCCTGAGCGTCACCTCGTTCTCTGCGGCGGGCCGGCGCTCCCCACTTCCCCGTGCTCCGGGAGGAAGAAGCTGCCTTGGGCCTCCCGGCCCCTGGGCCGGCCTGCATGAGTGACGGAGGGACTAGTGCTCATTCAGTTACTCCACACATAGATGTGGTAGCCAGCGGAGGGCTGGCACAGTGCCAGGGGCAGGGGATAGCGGTGACCATGACTGACAGTCCCTGCCCTCCAGGAGTTGATGTCCTGGTGAGGGAGAATAAACAAATGAGTGTGCGGCAGCAGTGATGAGGACCGTAAGGAGAAGTCCCCTGAGCGGGGCCGGAGAAGGCAGGGAGTGCCTGGGGATGCCTGAGGCTGCCGGGCTGGGAGCCCGAGGGTGGCCTTGTTCTCAGTAGGCCCCTGTCGTCACCGGGCCTGTCTTCCAGACCATGGCTGAGAAGTTCCTGGAGGGCGAGGTGCCTTTGGAGACGTTTCTGGAGAACTTTGCCGCCATGAGGATGCTGTCGCACCTGCGCCGGGTTCGTGTGGAGAAGCTCCAGGATGTGATGAGGAAGCCCAGAGTCTCCCAGGAGCCTGCCGGTGACGCCCCTCCACTCCGCCCGCCACCCCCGCCTCGCCCCGTCCCCCAGGCCAGGCCCCCTGTGGCTGAAGAGCAGCCACCCCCGCCACTGCAGCCATCAGGGGTGCCTCCCTACCCTTTGCCCTACAGCCTGCCTCCCGGCATGCCCATGGGCCCCACCGCCCAGGGCGCGCTCCCTCCGGCCCCCTTCCCGGGGGTGCCTCAACCCTCCTTTTCCTACAGTGGGCCCGTGGGCCCCCCTTACCCGTCAGCCCAGCCGGGACCCAGGGCTGCTGCGGGCTACTCCTGGTCCCCACACAGGAGCACACCGCCCCAGCCTGGCTATTCTGTGGCCCCCACTGGTGCCTCTGGCCCCGGGTACCCCTTGGCGGGGGGCCGGAACCCGAGTCCTGGTTATCCTCAACAGCCCCCCTACCTCTCAGCAGGAGGAAAACCTCCCTACCCAACGCAGTCCCAGCTCCCGAGCTTCCCAGGCCCCCACCAGCCCCCCTACCCCCCCGGGCCTGCCCCTCCCTATGGGTTTCCTCCACCTCAGGGTCCTGCCTGGCCCAGGTATTAGACACTGCCCTGGCCCTCGGCCCCTCCCTACTTCCACCTGTACCACAACCTTTGGCCCACCCACTGCTGAGATTCGAGGTTAAATTAGAAGTGGAGTTGGCACTGCCTGTGCACTTGGCGGACCTGGCCGGGATGATGCGGATCCCCAGAAAGGCACGGGCAGTGTGACAGGCTCGGCCGCAGCAGGCCGTCACGGCACTTAGCAGCCTCCCCGGGGAGGGAGTGCCTCTTTTCAGTCACTGGCTTTAGCTTGTCTCTTGGGAGCCAAGCTGGGAGTTCACCTCTCCACGGGTGTCTGTACGAGTGAGCTGTGCATCTATGAACATCTCCTCGTGCCTATACTCCCGGACACCTGAACCCAGTGCAGTTATCTCGGTGACGGGCTGGCCAGTCTCAGGCCCCTGCCCACCCTCCTCCCTGGGATTTGGCACATTTGGGCTGGTGCCCACATTAAGGGATGCAGCTCTGTGTCTCTCCGGTCCATTCGAGGATGGCCTGCCCCATGTACCATGGCTAGGGGTGGATCAGAGGGAGAGAACGGAGTTAGGAAAAACACTTCATGATTTATAAGTCACATAAAGCCATAATCGAACTCTGATGGGCTGACGTCAGATAAACTTGTCCTATGGGCTGATTTGAATGACAGCAGCAGAGCCAGCCTGGTGAGAAAACTGGGGATTATGCAGGTGGACCCCAGGCCTTGCTTGCACTGGTTGGAAAATCGGGGATTGGGGGGAGCTGTCTTGGATCCTCTGGCCCAGGAGATTGTCCCATTGGGACTCACCAAGGAGCGGAGGGCCAGGTCTCCTCCCCGGCCGCCGCCTTTTCTGGTTGACTTTTTCTGTGGCCCACCGTGTCTGTCCGCTCCTGTAGTGCCTTGAATCTCATTCGCAGAAGCCCCCTCCCGTCATCCCCTGCCTCCGGCTCCCGTGACATAATTCTCCCTTCATCCCCAATGTGCCTCCTAAGACAGACATCAAAAGACGCCCTAACAGTAACCTCCCAAATGGTGCTTCTGAAACACCATCACTCCGTCGGAGTCCATTCTCTGCATCTCTCTCGTTTTCAGAATGTAAAGGGCAAGGATTGTGACTTCTGCGCCCCACGCAACCCCCAGCACCTTGGGGGTTTAAGCATATTCAGTAATGAAACATGACAGTAGACCAAAGGGCGTGTAATGAACAAGCATTAACTTGGTTGTTCCAGATGTGAACCAGGTCTCAAGGGCAGACCCTGGAGCTGCTATCGGTTAGGAAGTCATATGTGCCTTGAAATGTCCACTACACGAGTACCCAGCATCTGGTGGCCTGGGGTGCTGGGGGCCAATGAGGAAACTCGACCTTCTGGTGCCTGCCCCCTCCCGGCCTGCGTGCCATCAGTGGGTGCGTGGACGAGATGCTCGATGAGTGCTGTCAGTTCCTTGCCAATTGTGCTTGCTCTCATAAGTTATTTATAAAGAGAAATCCCTAATGGACTCTACTAGTCCGAGGGCTTCGGAACTAGATGAACGACCGCCGGTGTGTTGTATAAATAATTTCGACCGCCGGTATGTTGTAAAAATAATTGCCATAATAAACTTTGAGGAGTTCCATGCCGCGTTGTGGCTCGGGTGGGTTTGAGAAGTGGGGAGTGGGTGGGAAGGGGGCATGGATTTCTTCTGCAGCCTGCAGGATCAGGCTCTGCTGAAAGGCCTCTGATTCAAGTCCACAGAGCCCCATCCGGATCGAGTCCGAGCTGCTCCCTTCCTGCTCCTCCCCCTCGGGGCCAGGTGGCAGGCACTTCCCTTTCCTACTCTGGTTTTCTGTCCTGGGCATTTTCACGCTGGCCTCTTCCTGAGCGGAGAGCGTGGGCTGTGCAAAGCCACAGAGCCCCTCCCCCCTGCCCCCCAGGCACTGTGCACATTGCTGCCACCTGCTGGGCTGAGGAGGACCTCTGCCGTCAGCCTGTCCGGGGTCCGGGACCCCCAGCTGGAGTCTGCCTTCCTGGCCAGTTTCTACACCAGATAGAAGGGCAGCCCTTCGAACCCTCCCCCGCACCCCCGCCATTTTAAACAAGGGGAGGAGATGGCGGGGCGGGGCGCGGTTCAGTGACCGGGGCGCACATCCTCGAGGGGTGGGGCGGAACTCACACCTGGCTGTCGCACCTAGCCGCGGGGCACCCCTGCTGGTCTCTGCTCCCCCCTCTCCCGGGGCCTTCCTTAGATCCAGCCCAGACTGGCTCTTGGGCACTCCCTGAGGCTCCCTCCCCACCCAGCATTCACCACTGAAATCACCAAATCCCCTGGCATCCTCTGCCCGACCACAGTGGGCCTCTTCCTGCAGAGCGAGCTGCATGGGGGACGAACCTTTAGTGTCAAAAGCCCCAAAGGGATTCCTAGTGAAAAAAGACACTGCCGCATGAGCCGGGCCGAGGCCATTTGAAATGTCCTTTCCACCGTATGTTCCTTTAGTTCCATTCAGTGCTCCCTGATCCCAGCCGCACTGACAGCTTCGAAGCCACACTTGTTGCTAGGTCGTCAAAATGAGCCTGCCTTTTGGGCCCTCACTTTCCTTGACTCAACGTGAGAATGTCTGAGAATCAGGTCACACTCAGACCCTCGGAGGGTCAGGTGGGTAACGGTTTAGGGGAGTGAGCTGGGGTGGGGGACACAGGTGAGTCCTACCCTCTCTGGTTGAGGGGCGGGCGGCCCCTGCTCTGCTCTGGCAGGTTGCCGTGAGGCAGGAATGTGGACCAAGAGGTGGCCCAGGTCACGTCACACATCCTTCAGGGCTGAGGAGTGCTCTCCGTGGCCTGGGTCCACCCGCCAAGCCTGGGTCCACCCTAGCAAAGCTGCCTCCGAGGCCGAGAGAGTTCCCACACATTTACTTAACCAGATCTTTCTGGAATGTGTCACCTGCCACCAGTGGTAAAACAACTTTCTAAAGAGACCTTTGTATCAATATGGCTTTTTTTTTTGTGGGAGGGTTGTTTTTAAAATAGACCATGGCTGTGCTGAGCCCCCGGGTGGTGGCCAAGCCAGAAACGAAAGCTTTCACGAAGAAAGGCTCTGGAGGGGGACATCTGGTGCATCATGTCCTCTGCTTCTCCCTCAGAGTGGCCTCTCGGCTCCCTTCTGGGGACCCCCCGGGAAGGTTACTGGCTGTCCCTATTTCTGGGTTCCCAGCATGGTCAGGGGCTCGGCCACTGAACTCTCGTGGAAAATTGAGTCCTGAGCAGTGCGAGGATAGAGGCCCGTTGGAAGAATGCCTTAGAATCGGCTCGCACACTCAGACCCTCCGAGAGTTAGTGCATTGGGAGTTGGTGGAGGCAGGGTTCTGACCAGGCTCTTCTGGTATGTCAGCGCCCCCAGCTCCTTGATTCTGAGAGCGTCCCCCACCCCCAGTATCCTTCCAGTAACCCCCTGGGCTCTCCCAGAGTGGCTTCTGTGGCTGAGACGATCAAGGTCTGTTCCCAGTGGATACAGCGACCAGTCATGTGGAGAAAGACCCCAGACCCGAGGTGTGTTCTCATGCTGCTTCACCTGCAGGGAACCATCTGATGCCCAGGGGCTTAGCGAGGCTAAGCACAGCCTCTCCCTTCACCAGACCCTTCCATCCCATTTAGACGTGCTCTCATCCCTTGCAGTCACAGAAACCCAGTCACCGCAGGATTTGGGGTGTGTCTGGGCTCTCCAACTGGTACAGGAGACTATTTCAGTTGAGAGAGTTATTTAACCCGCAAGAACGTTCAGCCTCCCCTTCCTCCGACTCTCCAGTTAGAAGGTTAACTGTGATGAGCTGAAAACCTTTTAGCTTTGAACTTCTAGCTGGAGTGGAGGGGAGATGAGGGGCCTCTGGTCAGGCAGCCACTGAAGCCTGGGCGCCCACACGATGGCCTTGCTGTGGCTGTGACGTGCTAAGTTGTCTTTGAGTCAGGTGTGCAGCCCTTGTGGTCCTGCAGTGGGCGTCCCTTCCCTTGGGCATCCCCAGAGTGACCCAGGGGGTGGACCCTGGATTGAGGAGACTGGGAACTCTAGTTTTCAGGAAGTAGAAAAAGCATTATTTACAAAAAACAAAACAAAACAAAACAACACACTAAAAATACGCTAGAGAACTCAGCCCCCACCTTCCCCCCCTCCCCCAGTCAGTCCTCACTGGGGTCCGAATCTGAGGAGAGAGCCAAGTCCTCCTGGGAGCTGCTTCCTACAGACGGGAGAGGAGGCTGCCGGGGCCAGGCCCCCACGTGTCTCTGCTTGGGGGAGCTGCACATGTTTGTAGGCTTTGCCCTTTCACGGCTCCCATACTTGGAGGGGCCAGCCGAGCTGTTTTGGGGGTCTTCACTGGGCCAGGCTCCCAGGGGGGGATGTCAGAGCTGGCCTGCAACTGTAAGGCAGTAGGCCATGTTTGAAAGGCCCCTTTGCCTCCATCTGTGTTCTGGCCGGGGCGGAAATCGGGATGTTCTTCCCAGGGGGTGAATGCAGCGTGTTCTCAGCATCAACGGTCTGGCTCTCCACGTTCGTTCCTGGTTCCCGGTTCTGTGGGGTGAGGAGGACAGGTCAGGGGAAGAAACCTCACACCCTGGAGGTGGTTTCAGGAGCAGGGGGTGCAGGGGGGCAGACAGGCCCCAAGCCCCTGGCTCAATGTCAGGGACAGCGGCTGCCCCTCTGGTCAGGGGCTTCTCCTTCCTGCTGGCGACTCTGTAGGGGTATAAGTCCATAAGGAAACTTTTGGGTGACCTTCTGAGATGGAGTTTAAGAGCTGGTGGTAAGGTCAGTGATCTCTCTGCTTTAATTACCAAATCAGCTCTCATCTGCTTAACCACTGGTGTTTATTCTTCGCCTTTGCACGAGTTAGGGGCTTGGAGTTCCCCGTTAGTGGAGGGGCGGGCAGGAGGTGAGACACCAAGGGGCTGGCGCTCATCCCCAGGGCTGTGTGGGAACCCCAAGGTGCCAGGGGCCGGGCTCACCTTCTACAGCCTCTGAGCCCCGTGCAGATCGTAGTCACTGTCCGAGGAGTTGTCAGGCTGGGCGGAGACACGGTGCAGGGCCCCTTCCAGAGCTGCAGAGGGAAAGGAGGCCATTTGCAGCGGGCTCATCCCACCAGGCTACACACAGAGAGAGCCCCTCAGAGCCGAGAGCCCAGCTGGGACTGCAGATCAAAGGGGCTTTACGAGCTGGGGGCTTGACAGCCCCAAATCTGTTTTGATCAGATCAGCCGAGTGATCACTAATGATGCCGAATGCCAGCCTGCCCGGGGCTTCATTGTTAGTGCCAGTCAGGGAGCACTCAATACAGGGCTCCTGCGGGCCACCGGATGGCTCTGTTCTGCCTCATTTACCAGGCAGCCCACAAGCCCCTGTAGAGGAACGGGCCTGTTAGGTCACAGCAGTGCCGGGGTTAATGGCCCGCCAGCGCCCGCCTTCTCTCCAGGTGAGCGGCCCATTAAGGCTGTATCCCTTCTACACCCTGCCGTGACCCGTGACCGCTGTCCCTCAGGCAGTTCAATTCCACTTCTCCAAGGGACCTCCCTTCTCTCTCTGGGCGATCACGTGACCTGCGCCCCAGCAGGAGCAGCCCCTGGTGCTTACCTGGATACGTGGAGACACGGGAGTTCCTGGGAGGCTGACTGTACTCATTCTCCACGTGGGAGGCTGTGGGGTTCTCAGCCTGGGACCGGCGGACGGTCTCCGTATGGTTGCGGTGGAAAGACACTGCACAGATAGACCCAGGAGAGGGTGTCATTAGACCTGCTGCTGTGACTCCTTCTGCTCTGTCCCAGCGGGGGCCCAGAACTTCGATTTCCTGGTCCCATTGTGTGATGGCGGGGTGGGGGGGGGGGGGTAGGGGGACAAGGGAACCCACGGCTCCTTCAACACGTCCCTCTTTTCCTTTCTTCTTGGACAGGCTCATGCTAGCAGGGGTCAGACTTAGAGCAGCTTTGGGTTGGCCAGCAAGCTGATTGGTGGGTGGGCCTTTAGTCGGTCAGTCAGTCAGTCATCAGGCATTTATGAAGCAAGGGGTTGGTTGACACACAAGAGATAAGGTAGATATACTCTCTGCCCTCCCAGAACAGAGCGCCTTTA